ATGTGAATGCATTTAATGCCACTAAATGGTATACTTTAAAAACTGCGAAGATAGTAAAAGATCATGTTAAGTGCATTTTACCAGAATTTCTAAAAGTAATTAAAGAAAAAAAAGCTAGAAGGAAAACCACCCATTAACAGGAATAGCTCATGATACAGAAGAGAATTGGAAATGATCTCCAGCAGCCTCCTTTACCTCCCAAGTTTACCATAGTGCTCACCAAGTGGGTGAGGAGTCTAAGCATGTTAGTCCAGAAACTGCAAGTTCCAGCCACTGCCAGGAAAGTTCTGCAGACTGCTATGGAGACTGCCACTTAATTGCACCTTCACCACTTCAGTGAATACTACCTTCTAGGGAATTAAGACCTAGCTGCTAGATAGTCCACCTTCATCCACTGGCCCCAAAGTGCAAACTAGAATTAAGTTTCCTTTCTTCTTCAAGATAAGCATGCATGACAATTTTATGGTTCCAAAGGTATAGATACGGTTTTCCTTCCTATAAATGAGGGAATCTTTATAGAATTCATACATACTCAAGATATGAAACAAAATTAAGTTTTACTTCAGTCACCTGACCTCACCCAGCCTATGAGAAGAGTCAATATGCTGCCACTCAAGGCAGATACCTAACCTGGGTTGGAAGGGAAGAGAGAATGGTTGTAGTAACTTACAGCTCCCCAAGGAACAAGATCTCTCCTCACAGGCGAAGGAGAAACAGCAGCTCCACTAGCAGGTTTTTCCTACTATGAATCCAGTGGGTCAGGAATTTTGTAGAGGACATAGTGGGGATGGTTTCTCTCTGCTCTGTGATGTCTAGGACATCACAGGACTAGGACTACAACTGAAGGCGAATCAACAACTGGGGCCTAGGGTCACTTGGAGGTATCTTCATTTATAGGTCTGGTTGTTGATGCTGGTTGTTGGCAGAGACCTCAGCTGAGCTATAGGCAGGAATACCTATATATGTTATTTCTATGTTGTTTCTCTATGCAGGCTCTTTTTTTTTAATTTTTTATTTATTTATGATAGTCACACACACACACAGAGAGAGAGAGAGAGAGGCAGAGACATAGGCGGAGGGAGAAGCAGGCTCCATGCACTGGGAGCCTGATGTGGGATTCGATCCTGGGTCTCCAGGATCGCGCCCTGGGCCAAAGGCAGGCGCCAAACCACTGCGCCACCCAGGGATCCCTCTATGCAGGCTCTTTTGGGCTTTCTTATAGCATGACATCTGGGTTCCACATGAACATCCCAAGGTAGGAATGTCAAGGTCTCACTGCAAGGAAAGTATGCCAGATGGGAAATAGTGACGGCTATCTCTGGTTAATACAAAGTGCCATATATCCACCTGGTTGCTTAGTGTCTTGTCTGTGGTAGATACTCTCTGGTAGACCTAGACATGAGACACAAAAACCTACTCACTTTTGCCCACTCCCTTGGGTCCCTCCTCCTGCCTCTTCCCAGGTATCTTTGCTATTGAACTTCAAACACCACATCTTACAGGCCTTGACCCACTATCCTTATCTCAGACACCTTCTCTTTCCATACAAAGGACATGGTTAAATGTACACCTCGAAGCTCTGCCACTGTCCTTGCCACTGTGGTAGAACAGTAGCAGTCCATTTTCAGTTCTATCAATATACCAAGCTTGAACCAGTCTTTAGTATTTTTCTCTATCATCAGCTGGTCACAGGGACACCCCATGAGGCCACAGGTGTGAGGTGAGGAATACAACAGAGACCTGGGTCAACTTTCCTTATAACTTCTGGGCCGGCTTAGATGTGATCTCATGTAAAACCATTTCTAGTGTTCAGTAACTATTGATGTGTGCACCCAACCTTACCAAACCCAGATCCTGAAGGGCAGTTCATATAATCATTTGACGTTCCATTGTCAAATGCTCAGTTTCCACTAGAGCTCAGTATCATGCTAGTAATTGCTTTTTTTAATGGTTGAGCTGTAGAAGGCATGGCCTTACCCTAGAACACTCATAGTTTGTGCTGTGATTCCCCGTTAGGTCCAGTCAGATTCCCCACAGCAACACCTGGCCCCTGGCCCCTTGGGATATGCCACATCATTATGAAGTGAGTGGAAAAGAAGCTTGTATCATAGCCTACAACTGCTGGGCCCTCTTTTCTCAAAACCAGTAGCCTCTTGAGTCACCGGACTCAACTGGCATTTGTCCAAACACGCCAATCAATATACATTGATGAGGTCAAGTTCAAGTACCACCTCCTTTATAAAGGCTTCTCCGTGCACCCCACGGGGAAGTGAATGCTTCCTCTTCTAACCTCTCATAATATTCATTTAGATATCAAACACAAAGAGGAAACAGACAAAGATCTGTGTTCACCTGAGCTTCTCCATGGTAGATGACATGATCAAATACTGGGGTATGAAATTTTACGACTAGTTTATAAATTAAGACGCCAATTCACTGATCAACAGAACACTTAGATGTACAACTTAGGTTGGCTAGTCAAAATAATCTGGGGTCAATAAGCTTTTTTCTGTAAAGGACCTTCTGTAAAGGATTTTTGAGTGTCATAAATACATTAGGGACACTGGCTCTGTTGCATTTTTCTTTTCTTTTCTTTTTTTCTTCCTCCCTTTCTGGTCGTTGATGTATTTAATCTTGTCATTCTTTAAGCAATGCATTGAAAATGTAAAAACTATCCTCGCTCACTGGAACAAAATAGGTCATAGGCTGCATTTGGCTGGGGGCCTTAGTTTGCTGACTTTTTCTGTCTTCAAAAAGAAAGCTGATTTGGGAAACAAACTTAACAAGTTGTTTAGTAAATAAAGCAATCAGAGTAAAGGAAGTTCAAATTCAGTCAGGCAGTCTATATATTTTCAGTGTCTACATGTACCAGGTACTGTTTGTGGTCCTAGGGCCATGGCGGTGAATAGGAGAGACACAATTCTAATCCCCAAGGAGGTGACTGGGAAGTGGGTGGGTGATAAGAGAGGACTAAAGAATTTAAGAGGAGTGACATAATGATTCTGACTACTTGCTGTGTGGAAGCAAGACTGAGGGGGGGGGGGGCGAACAGGAGAAAATGCAAGAGAAAAGCAGGTTAGAAGCCTATTACAGTGGCTCAGAGGAGAGATGACTACCCCAGACCAAGGTTGTGGTGGTGGAAGTGAAGGGAAGGCTGGTTAAATGGTTACATTTGGGATATATTCTGGAGATTGATGCCTCCAAACCCACCAGTGAATCAGATGACAATGCAATCGGGAGGACAGTGCTGCCACTTAACTCAAGTAGAAGAGGCTAGAAGACAAAAGGGGGTTGGGATCCAAGGCACAAGAGGAAGACTTATCCTGGGATAAGACCAGGGTCAGTGGGAAATTGAACTCACATGGGAAAGGCAGCAGAACTGTCTGGAAACTTGAGTGTCATTTAAGTTATTCAGCCATTAATTGGAATTCTTAGTGAGTCTTTAAACAGCACCTAATTTAACTCTACTGAAAATGACTTTTCTGTATAAGTGGATTTTCCCCTCATCTTTTAAATCATGGAAATAAATATCATTAAATACCTTAAAAAATATATGTAACATGCCTATAAATTACAAAGCATAATAATCTAATGCACATCTATGAACTCTCCACTCTGCCAATAGGACATTTGCCAATAACTTGCATCTACCTTTGTTCCTCTTAATCCCATCTGCCGGTTACTCCATACCCTAAATTTTGTGTTCGCCGCTCTCTCTTTCCTTAAAATCACTTATGTATTTTGGGGGCTAAACAGATGTGGTTCTCCCTGTATCTGAACTTTATAAAACGGCAACTGAAACTCGGCGTCTTAAAACTCAGCATCTCGTCTCCAAAACATGTCCACGTCACTACGTGCGTCGATTCATTTCCTACGCTCAATTTTACGGCTATCTACCATAATGTGGCCGCCCATCTTCTTACAGAAACACGTTTCCGATGTTCCCACTTCTGTGCTACGACCAGCAGTGCAGCTGTGAATATCGTAGAGTGTCCACGAGATTCCCAAGTGTGGATGATTCAGACGTGGAACTGGCTGGCTCGCACGGCGCGCGGGTTTACTCCTACGAGGCGTCAAACCGCCTTTCCGAGGGGTCGTCACCAATTTACACCCGCACCAGTTGAAGGTGAGAGGATTCCTCTCTGGAACGTGGTGAGGTCGGACTCCCGTGGTTTCGTCCGTCTAAGGCAGGCAAGACCGTATCTCGTATCTCGTCGCGGTCTCTGTCTTATAGCCGGGTTCGTAGGGGGCAGGACATCATGTCACCTGCTCACCGGTCATCGTCTCTCTTATCCAAGTCTCCTTCTCGACGGCCTTGTCGCTCCCATCTCTGCCACTTCACGCCGGAGCTGAGACACGGAGTCCCGCGGGTCCCTTACCTGCAGATAAGCAGCAACGGACTCGCTTCCCCCGCTCCACAAGGCGCGGCGGGCTCGCCGCGGAGGAGGCTGTGAAGGGCCCCACGCCTCGCAACGCTCGGGCCCGCTCGTGTTCCCGGGTCGGGTCGAGCCCTTCCGGACCCGTCAACACTCTCTGGACCCACACCGAGCGCACAGAGCAGCACCCAACTCCGCGGCGAAAGCCCAACATTCGCGGGCATCCACTCCTGCGCGCGTCTCCCCGGGGCACACTCACGCTACCCTCCCGCCGGACACGCCGACGACAACACACCCACGTGCCCCGGGCTGCTCCCGCCGCTCCGGTCCTTTCAAACCCAGCAGAGAAAAATCATCTGAGCATCGTGTTTCACACTTTCGTCAATAGCTTTTCGCCCAAAAAAAAAAAAAAAAAAAAAACTATACAAAACGTCTTAAAAGAGGTTATTTAAAGACCCTCTATGGGGGTTCTGCCTTTTGTCGTCTTTATGCTTTTGTGAGGATTTATCTGGAGTTGCCAGACCCAGCGGGCTCGTCAGCGTTTGTGTGGAAACTGCGACGAGACGGGGCTCCGTGGCTGAGGAGGCGGGGCGCAGGCGTGACGTCATCGCCGCGGGGCGGAGGCGACCGAGCCCGAGCGGCGGCTCCGCGTGCTGGCGGCCGGCTCCGGACTCCCGGCTTGGAGGCAGCGGGAGGACCTGCCACCCCGGCCGCTTTCCCGTGGTGGTCCGTTCCCATCTGGCCCCTCCCGGAGATGGCAGACGATCTTGGAGACGAGTGGTGGGAGAAGCAGCCTGCGGGAGCAGCCAGCAGCCCAGGTACCCCCTGTGCCCCCGCGGCCGCGGGGCGCCCCCGACCCCACCCCCCCCACCCCCCACCCCCCCGCCGCCTCGGGCCGTCGCGGCGTGTGTCCCCGCGGGCTGTGCCCAGCTGGACGGGGACGGCAGCGGCGCGGAGCAGGCGGCGCCAGAGCCTCGCTGCTGCGTGAAACGCCGTGACATTACCTCGGATCTGCCTGCCTGTCAGGAAGGACTCTTTCCTAAGCTTCTCCTTTTTACGTATTTCTTGATAAGATAAGAGGTTTTTCGTGAATGCAGAGAGTTTGGGCGTAGTGCTTGAGGGTGACTCCTGGATTAGGTGCAGTCTGCTCCCGTTCACATCAGGACCCTGGCCCTCTGATACTGCTTCGGCTCCTTATCCTCATCGGTCACTTAAGGATAATGCCAATTTCTTAAGATTAAACAACATAAATTTCTATGAGACTCTTTGGCACAGTACTTGGTGCATAATATGTGCGACGTAAATACAAGCTGCGGTTTTTCTTGCTATCATCGTCTCGTGTTATGCGGACTATAAAAAGCCTAAAGGACGGGGGTTTCTTTTTTTTTAAGTTTTTTTTTTTTTTTGAGCTTTTATTTATTTATTCATGAGAGACACACAGAGAGAGAGGCAGAGACCCAGGCAGAGGGAGAAGCAGGCTCCATGCGGGGAGCCCGACGTGGGACTCGATCCCGGGTCTCCAGGATCAGGCCCTGGGCTGAGGGCAGGCGCCAAACCGCTGGGCCACCCGGGCTGCCCCTAACGGACGTTTGGAGAGAGACCCATCCTCTTGAACTCAACCATTTTATAAACGAGAAACATGAGACCTAAATATATCCGGTAACTTGACGAGTTCACGTGGCTAGTGGGTGTCAGAAACAAGACTAGAATTTAGTTAGTTAACACAACTGAAACACCTCGCTGCCAGCCAGCGCAGTGGGTGGGTATTTCATTCCAAGTAGGTGGTATTAAGTATTAACTCCTCAGCACAGGCTGGCTTTGAACCTTTCAAGTTCCATGAGGCTTAATATACGGTTATGTTCTTTGGTTGTTCTTCAAAGTCTACTCCTCTTCTATACCAGATTCTAAGATTTTTTTTTTTTTAAGGATAAAACCAAAGTCTGACCCATGTCATATAGTCCACTGGGCACTGACCCATGTATCAATGACACTTGATACATACTTGCTGCAAACATTAATTTTGAAGTAAGTGTTGTGGAGTATCCAATAAGCTGCAGAATTCTGCAGTATTATTTCTGGAAGGGTAGCCTTCAGGTACAAGCTGAGCAGATGTCATTTTTTAAAAGGTAGCCAGCGTAATACTTCCTCCCTTAGGCTTCCTGACTCTTTTTGCTATTTTGTTTTTAGGAAATATCTTTCTGTGCTTGAAGGCACAAATGTTTTTCTTTGCAGGCTGTAGTGTTCCAAGTTTACTTTAATAACCCTTACCTCCCCCCCCCGCCCCCGCCCCCAACTCAGGTATTTAAAGCAATATTTTCTGGTGTGTTTAAATATAGAAGTCATTTTAGAAACAACTGAATTATTTTTAAGTGGTGAAGGGGATCTTATTTCTTGGATCTAGCCCTGGCCCTTTCCCCCTACCAGCCTTATGTCTCTCAATTTAGTCACCCTTTAGAAGGAAAGAAATTATTATGTATTGTCTATTATGTGGCAGATAGTTTCATAAATACAAATTCACTTAATTTAAATAATATGTTTAAAAGATAAGTATTACTTTCATTTTTATAGATAAGAAATAGAAAAGTTCAGTAATGTTCTCAAAAACACACAGCAAGGGGACACACCTGGGTGGCTCAGCCCCTTAAGCATCTGCCTTCAGCTCAGGTCATGATCCCAGGGTTCTAGGATTAAGCCCAAGGCCCTGGGATCAAGCCCCGCTTCAGGCCCCATGCCCAGCGCTGACCCTGCTTCTCCCTCTCCTTCTGCCTGCCGCTGCCCTGGCTTGCGCACACCCACGGGCATTCTCTCTCTCTCTCTCTTTCTCTCTGTCAAATAAATTAATAAATAAAATCTTAGAAAGGAAGAAAGAAAGAAAAGAAAGAAAGGAAGAAAGAGAGAGAGAGAGAGAGAGAGAGAAAGAAAGAAAGAAAGAAAGAAAGAAAGAAAGAAAGAAAGAAAGAAAGAAAGAAAGAAAGAAAGAAAGAAAAAGAAAGGTAACACAATAAGGAAGAGATCTAGGAAGAGGTTACACAGGTGTGCCTGAGTTTCAAAGTCATATCGTATCCACTATTACAATGTGGCTTTGCTGGGCCTCAGCATAAAATGAAGGGTCCTTAGAGATAATTTGTTTTAAGGGTTTTAACTAACCAACAGTTCTAAATTCTAAACATTGGATCTACAGCCTCCATGATGTAAGCTACCAGGATTCCCATCAAGGTAGTATGTTAAAGTCTCCTTACTTCTTAGATTCCTTCTAGCTCTAAGAGTAACATTTGAAAATTGCTGACTTTAAATGTATCAGGGGCATTTGCTTTGTTAACTGCTTTTCAGTATAGTGAGTGAGCTTATGTTTCCTGAGATATGCTTATTTGTTGGTGATGTGCCTAAATGATCTGTTTGGTATTTCTAATTCAGAAGAAATCACAACTGAACCAGTTGAGATTTCCTGATTCTACCTATGTTAATGGGGGAAATAGCAGCCTAAAATGTGTGAACTATATTTTATTTTGAAGGTCAAGGGAGAAATAGTGCTTTAAATCAGAGAAAGGAAACATAGTTCTAATGATGCCTTTTTTTCTGTTGTGTGCTATCCTACTTGATCATAAAAATAAACATCTTTCCTTACTATCTGTTTTCCACTCACACTTCTGGTAGCAAGAAGTATTTAGTCATTTATTCAACAATCTACAACAAAGGCTTAACATTCATGGTCATGAATTCTTATGCTTGTTTTCTAAGAGTAAAGTATACAAATTATATAGATTCCCAAACACCGGCACACACTATGTATAACATCTGTCTAACATACCAGTCAGTTATCTACTTATTGTCTAAGGAAATGTACCATTTTTGCTGGTCTCATGTCTTACTTAGATGTGGTAAGTAACTCAGAGACTCTTACTAAAACTCCAGATCTACATATGACTCTTTTTTGCATACATCTTATGGCTATTCAGGACTTACACTCTTGTGCTAGAATCCTGCATTTTACTGGAGCCCAGCATGGGACTTGGCACCTGGTGTTTGGAAGATATTAGCTGAATAAATGGATGCTCCTGTGCCAGGTGCTACAGAGTTCTTGATGATCACGTATATAGTTAGACATATAATTTCTCACCCAATTAAATACTTTTAAGAATGAAAGGCCACGCTGTTAGAATTTTGCTGGGACTGTCCTAGTCTACCTGGGATGTCACCCTATTGACATAATTGTTGGTGATTGGAGTCATGGCCCAGGATAAGACAACTGAGAGTTGTCTCTGCTGAAGAGTGTGCAGCTAGTGTGCTCAGGCAACAGAGCCTAGGGGTCATTTTACTTATTTCCTTATTCCCTGCCTACCTTAAGAAATTATTTGAAGTGACTTATAGTAAACAAGATATTCATTAGAATCATAGTTGGAAAACATTAATGCTAAAGTGAACAGATTACAATGTGTGGGGTTTCATGTAGTTGGCCAAACTGGGCACTTTCTCAGTGTGATGCTAAAATCTGCAGTTGGAGTTGGTCACTTGATCATTCACTTACTGAAGGGCATATTGATTGTCCTCCCTTTTTATTCCAATAATATGCCTATTAAGTTACAAGTCAGGTGTCCAGTAGGTAGTGAGATATATGAATCTGGAGCTCCAGGGTTGGGTCAAGGCTACAGATAAGAGATTTAGGAATGACTGGCATATATATAGCTTACTTATATTATTTTTTTAGATAATTTATTTATTTATTTATTTATTTTATTTATTTATTTATTTATTTATTTATTTGTTGTGGGAGGGGTTGCAGAGGGAGAGAATCTCAGGCGGAGTCCCCACTGATCATAGATGCTGGTGAGGCTTGATCTCATGACCCTCAGATCATGACCTGATCCGAAATGAAGAGTTGGACTCTCAACCAACTGAGCTACCCAGGCACCCCTATAGCTTACTTTTAAAGAGGATGTTTTAGCAATCTGTCAAATTCTCAAACCCTATTTTTTTGAGAAGATTTTTCATGTGCTTCCCTAACTCATTCTGAATCTTTGATTCCATCTCTTAGCAAGCATCTAACTAGAAAACTGAAGTGTGAACACACTTCTATGTACAGTACAGGGAGAGTGTAGATAATAATACTAACTTGCATTTTTTGAGTGGTTGTTATGTGCCAGATACTATTTTGATTGCTTTATGTGTACTAACTCAATTAATCTTCACAAGTACACCATAGCGTAATTACTATTATCCCCATTTTACAGGTGAGGAAATTGAGGCACTAAGTGTGTGATTTGCCTGATGTTATCTAGTTGGCAATTGGGGAGGCTATGATTCATAGGCAGGCAATCTGAAACCAGTCTGTACACTTAAATTTCTCAGAGATAATTATTCTGATTATCAGTGGTAAAAATCCTATCTCTAAAATAACAATCCTTTCTTAATTAAAAGAGGCTGATAGTTTATAAACTCTTTTGTTTAACACATCATTGTTATCAAAGTGTGTCTGTTAACTCTTAACTCTCCCAAAATTTATTCTTCTAAAGAACATTAATTACTCAGAGATCAAATAAGCAGGTTGTATCATTGGGCTTGGATAGTAGAGCTATCCACATGTCTGAACTGTCAGGTATCAGCCAGGACTCTCAACACCTGGCTGTCTTCTTGAAGTCTTGTATTTACTAGGAATGTCAAATGCAAATGAAAGCCAACTAGTGAATTAGTTGCTTTTTCTTTAGACTTCTATCTCAGTAAATTAAATTACCACCTACCCAATTTCACAAATAAAGGCGTAGGAATATCCTGTTTTATTCATTTATTTTTTTCTTTCACCCCTCCTATCAGATCTATCAAG